AGTTCAGCTTGCCCCCTGCGCTTTCGTTTCTGTCTCTTATACACATCTAGATGTGTATAAGAGACAGATATATAACAGCTTAGATGCATCCATAAGGGGAAACCTTAACAATAAAGAGGGTTAAAAACAGTACATTAAGGCGAAAGTAGTGTTGCTAAGGGGAAAATTAAACGACGTTAAGGCGAAATCATAGACGAAAGATTTCCCTCGCATGTTGTCCCCATAAAAAAAATAATGAAAAAAAAAACAACAAAAAAACAAGTAGACTCCTTAGGATTTGAAACCGGGGCTGATAGTGTGGAAAACACTACACCAAATTGTTTATGCATATCGCTTTGAAATTAATGCTCATAGGTTTGCTTACACTTTACCGGCAAACCCGTATTAGCACACGTCACACGCGTCATCGCAAATAGTTATACAAGGTTTTCGATCATTGGGTCCTTGACCTTTGACCCTAACCCTTTCAAATTTAGTCACTTTAGTCACATTGTGGCCAAGTTTGACAAATTTCTGATAAAAATCGTTTTTTGTTGATTGTGATCTTGACCTTTAACCCTTACCCTTCAACCTTTAAATGCTTTGAGATCTTTGGTCATGGAACGTTGTGACCAAGTTTGACAAGTTTGTGATTAAAACTATGGGCTGTAGATAAATAAATTTAAAAAATAGTTTTTCGTTGATTGTGACCTTGACCTTTGACTCTGACCCTTCAAAATTTAATCAGCTCTAGATCTTAGGTAAGGTTTGATGAATTTCTAATGAAAAATAGTGGCTGTAGGCTGTTCACAACAAATATGCCGACAAAAAAATAAATAATAATAATAATGAGCTACATAAAACAGGCGAAAACATAACCTCCTGCTAATTTCGTTGGCGGAGGTAAAATTGAGTTCGACAGATGTTTGGGCCGTCGATATAGTCAAGCTAGGATATAAGGTCGCCATTATAAAGAAAGTTTGAATATCATGGTCTTAATACAGATTTAATGTATCCGACTGCAATATCTACAGGTAAGCGTATACACTATTAACAGTATTGCAAATCCAATGTAGTAGACGCTTGCGAAAGGCTAGGGTTTGACTTAAAATTGTGAATGGCTATTACCCGTATTTTTTAACAGCTAATTTTCATTAT